GAGATCACGAAACGCTTGGGTGCTGTCGGTGCTACTCGCCTTCCAGGATGGGGACCTCGTGATCCTCACTGTGCCTGGTTGGAGACACTAGAAGATATGGCTGCCAACCGATGTCAGTGGCGTTCTTGTTGTCAGTTTCTGTCCAGATTGCCTGAGTGAATATCTGGAGGTGTAGGCACCTCGGAATGATTGTGTTAAGCTAGCACTAAGTCCCTCCCCCATCCACCTTTATTCTTTTCTTTACAATAAGGCTTTCAAATAAGTCATGGTTGTACGGTAGTGAAGCATTGGTGTTGAACACTGATGTCATGTTGTCGTTGATGATGATGATGAAGCAATGAGGAGTGCTGTACAGCTTCTCATCCTTTCACAAAATACCAGACGAACTAGTGACCGGTAGTCTGAAAACTTAACTATTTTCTGGTCATCACCTGATCAACTCGCACTCCAACAGGACATAGCGCCTATCATCCGGTCTCCATATGAATGCGAGAATATGGACGATGGTTTAATACAGTCGCCGTCGTGTTTAACGCACATGATGGTATATTTTTTTCAGTTTCATGAAAACAGGTACATTCTATCTCCGTTTACATGGCCTTAAGTTCAATGAGGAAACCTTGTTGAGTCAATAAAATTAGCCTGAGACGAAGTATTTCTGTTTGGCTCTTAAGGAGTGTTCACCCGATGATCAGCAATCATATTTTGTATCCAACCTCCGCGTTGTACCAGTGAGTTAGTGGATTTAATCCTGTGGATTTACCAGATGGATTAATTGGACAGTTGTATCATGCCTCTTTTGCCGCAGAGACCAAAGTTTATAGTAGCAATTTTTGTACCTCTAGGACCCACTGAGCACTACTGCTGAAGGGTTCATTTGGTACCCCTATTTCGTCGGTCGACAGGGCTCTGATGAACAAAGCCTCCTGGTCCTCCAGGTTGAGCTTTGGAAAAACCACGGTGACATGTGTAGCGACCCAGTCACCCACATACTTGACTGTTCAACTCACAGTCGCTCACTGGGTCGCGAGGCTTGTCTTTTTTCTCATACACACAAACACGTCGGATTAAGCTGGCTCATCGGACATCGGTTGTCTGCACCGCCTAGTCAGCGTAGCAACCACTCATGTGCCGACGCGCTCACATATGCGCACCGGGACCTACATAGAGGGAAACCGATCCCAGTCAGGGCACACAGACTCGCGCGCGCGCAGGGAACAGGACGTCAACCTCTCCACAAGTCCACGGACAACCATGGAGTACGTGTAGCAGTCTAACTGCGGAGAAAAACACGTTCCCGCCGTCCGGACTTCCACCAAGGGACTCTCGCATACGATAAGTTCCCTTTTTGACTTGCTCCCATTCTCGCACTGTATTCATTTTTATACGTGTCGCAACCATACAAAAACTCCTATTAGTGCACCTTCTGATTTGTATTGTAACTATCACCACCTGTGCACTAATACATGTACCTAGAAAAACCTGTAACCCCTCACAGATGAACACTATCTGCAGTAACGGGATTTTTTCTCAGCTTAGATCGCGGTATGAGCCTCCCAAGCTAGCGTTCACGTCAAAAACAATCACCAAAGGTGCACAAGTTATATTAACATCGCAAACGAAATCAAGAACAGTTGTACAGCGCTTCGTATATATAGCGTAAGCGGTTATAACTTTCTGGAATTTCTGACGCGTTCTGGATGCGCCATTGGCAACCGGCATTTGGCCAATACTGGGTCATGATTGGCTGTTGAGCCCAGACCTTTGGCCAATCGGATCTCGTCTTGATGGCGGACCGGCAAGCCTCCCGAATTTTTGGCCAATTTTGCCTGGAATAGACTCCTCGGCTGCAGCAGCACCTGAGTGCGAGTGGTAAGGAGGGATCCGTGTGGAATTCCGCCTAACACTACCATTGGTAATCTGCATCATAGATACGGTGTTTGTGTCGCGTTTTGTCCACTGTGAAGTGTTTGGTCAGGTAGACTGCCATTAGGTCCTTTTGGAATTGCAACGGCCTTGTCCGGCGGTGACTGAGAAGCTTCTTTGGCCCACACAATAAGATTAGCGATTTATTCTTGACTCCCAGAATAAAACCAACTGGAAAAGCATGTTTTTAGCAGAATTCTATCGTCCGGAATTTTTCTTATCCAGCCAGTTTCATACGACGCAGGGTTCCGATCTCAATTCACTCTTCAAGAGTACAGCGATAAGTGAAGTTTTAATAGTGAAGCATAACAGTTTTCCTGTTTTTTTAGGTTTGACAATACTTGAAAAATTTTTCTGAGTTGTCTACACCAAAAATTCGTGCTCATGTTTCCAAGTCACATTCGCAAAACTGCTGGAGTGTTTATTGTTTGAGGTCTTGGTTTGACACACCAAAAACCAGCTTATCTCGTTCCTTCCTCATTCTTTTCTTGAATACCCTCGGAACTATTCTACTACAAACGTGATGATGTCTACGACCTAATATATATCTTTAGATAGGCTGAAACGAAAAATGTAGTCATATTGGGGCAAACTGAATTAGACCACTGCGAATAACAGTAGAAAACAAAGGACCTTCAACGGAGAGTGCACATGATTTATTATACTTCAATGGTCAGGCGGACAATCAGACAGAATGACGATTGATAAATTAGGATACCCTATGATAGTTCAATTTGTTCTAGTGGAGTTGAATTACGTCAAACCTTCCAGACTTTTGATTAGCTGACTTTGGTTTGGGTCATTTTTATCGATCAGTGCTGTCAAAACTGAGAAGGAATGATTGGCTGACCATCATAGCTAATAAGCCTTGATATTGATGAAAATTTCTCAGCAGCAAACGCTTGTTTTCCCTCTGTCTTTTGACGCACAAATCAATGTACTCGCCACGTTCTCCCACTCAAATATCGTTGTCGTTCCCGCCAAAACATTTATGCATATATACAGTCATATAAGCAAGACAAACGCGTCAAACCTTGTCGCTGTGTACACATCCATGTTATTTAGCAAAGCATGACATAAACCTCATTCATTCGAGAAACAGGTCCTGCTGTTTGAGGTGCACTCTAACTAGTAGATTCGTCAAGTAGCTTCTAATTTAGAACATCTAATTTTCTTTAACCTCAGCTAGTTTACAGCACTTCAAGTAGCCTTTCAAAAAGAGCGACAAAGTAATCAACATCTACGTTACGTTCACACATAGGATGAACGGAAGCAACTAATGATACCCTATTAGAGAGGTTCACAGTGGGCAGCCGTTTGTCGTATGCCCAGTGGTTTCTTTAAAACATAGTTGGTATTTGATAAATCGCTTTGAGAAGCGCAACATTAATAACAACCGCAAAACGGAGACAATTTTCGGGCTGGATTCCATTCAGATCCGGAAGCAACGGGCAGGTCAGACATCTGCAACACGAGCCAGTATCGCAAGCTTACTGAGAAGTGCTTAAGCACAAAATCTCCAAATGGGTGAACTACATTTATTTGCAAATCGGTTTGATGTGAACGTAGATTGCAACTAAATTCCACCGGAACAATTTTTCAAGTGGATAGTCTGCACACAGTCCACGGCATCTTTCAGCAGCCTTACAGGTAGTGTGTTGGATCGAGGAAGTACCTTCCAGGTACGTCGAACCAATTAATTTCTTTTTTGATAACCACTTCCGCCAGTAATCTTTAAAACACTCGAAAATTATTCCTTTCTTATTGGGCTGAAAGCCTTTCATTTTTCAAACAATCCATCCAGATGATCCAGCTATTGTATTCTGGCTTTCTCGAGCAAGGAGACGCACCTTCAAATGCTTCAAAAGATACTTCACGATGATTTTTTCCATCTGAATAAAACCGGTGTTCCGTTATAAAACAGATCAACCCAAAACAGCTGTAGTAGTTTGGATAGGTACGCCATTCTTGGAATTCTCTGGAAAGTTTGGCCACAAGCGAGACCGAACGGGCCGAACCCCGCTCGGTGTGCCAAATGAGAAAACTTCAATGACCTGATTGATCAGGTAACTCGTTCAGGTAGTTATTGGTTACAAATGATGCCGTGATCACGGATTTCTTCGTTTCGAAAAATTTTGCAATCCAAAGTACTTTTGTCCTCGTGCAACGTACTGTGTCAGGGTATCTTGAAACAACGTATCGGTTGAGGAAAATTTGGTGATTCTGATGGACTTCAAAGGTACTTTTTTGGACAGGACTGTGCTAGAAATACTGAGCCCATAATCAGTAGGAAATTCACGAACTCACTGGGGAGATTATAAATATCCGCGGAACTCATGGCAGGAACGGTCTACTCTGCTAATACAGCAAAACGTACAACACCGAAGTCAGTTGCAAACACTTTGAGTGAACAGGTCACAGAGTCAAGTGGTGTCAATGTCACACAAGTTAGCGGGGCCGGATTTTCCGCAGGTCAGCTCATGTTCCAAAGTTCGCGCAAGTTTCTTCTGGTCATAGCCACTTTCAGGATGTGTGGAATTTACCCCACTCCAGTTTTAACAGTCACCCTGCATTCCTGGTGCATTTCTTCTGGTGAGTCTAAGTTAAAGGGAGATAGAACTGAACTTCGGTTCCGCTCTTGGCCTTGCATGGGTTTGACCTTCGGACAGTTGACCGGCTAGGCGAGCGTGTTACGAGTTACTCAGCGCAGGCTGGACGCATTTGCATTTCCACGTGTGGAAGTGCTGTCTTTTGGACACAGAGTTGTGGGTTATCCAGTCGAATTGCAAACGCTCCTGAGGTGGATAACATTCCGGATAGTACGAGTCAGGATCGGTTCAGACAGCCGGCATGTGACTTCAGAGGCCTGCTCTTCGTTGACGACATGAATGGATTCGGCCAGACTTGATCCAATCGCTCTCGATCCCTGTTTCTTCTAAGCACTACTGAGTGGAAGGGGATTGTGGCCCAAAATGCTATCTAGTGGTTGCAGACATAGAATTCATATTATAAATGGAACCTCAAGAAAGTCTCCTTAAATTTCGAACTGGAATCCGCACTATAATTGGATTGATGCAAAGTAGTTGATTTGTAGATCAGAAGAACACCTTTAATACCAATAGTTTAGTAATTAATGAAATGCTACACCAACAGGATGGTCACCTTTACTGGTACGAATTTTCCAAAGGCGAGTACTCTACGAGCGCCAGTGGGTCACCCGTACTGGAGTCATGATCACTCGAAGGATCAAAGCAGTGAGACCCGTCACGCATGAAGTGAGTCGTACCATGCTGAAACGTAAAAATTTTTACCACAATTTGCAGATGAACACGGAAAATGGCATCAATCTATTGAAATCAACAACAATAAGAAGACAGGAATTAGTGAATGCAATCGCTTACAGTTATTGGTCAGCTGTGTTCCGTTCCATTTAATCAACGCTGACATTGCACTTTAATTAAAAAAGTTACCAGACCGATATAGTGACAGTTTTTGTTCCAAACCCTTTGTTCCAGTTGTCAGAGTGCACTTATTTTGTGGTCCATCCAGCCAATTTAGCTGTACGTTGTTTAGCTCAGTTCGGTGTGCACACCCCACCACCTTCCCGTCCAACCCACATTCACTCACTCAGAGTACAGAGCAGGATAAGTTGGCAGGTGGGTGAAGATCGGGTTCATATGGATAATCAATATCCTGGCTTAATTTGTAGAACCACCCGCCCGATTCGAGTTGCTATGTCACCTGGAGACGTGACGAAAATGCGCCCGCTTTCCAGCTCTATTTGCCAAGTCTCATTCAAGCCCAACTGATAGTCCGACGGTTGCCAAAAACGGTGCTACATCAACAGCCTAGCAATAATCAACTTAACACTGGTCGTGCACTGGAACCACAGCGTTTGTTTTGGTTCGTCTTATTGAGAGCTACGTCAGTGATTTGGGAAGATCTCTGAAACGCTTGGAATTCGTTCTAAACTTAGAAAGATTTGGCAACAACAGCACACTTAACCTCCAAGATAACATTTGTCTAGATCTAACACAATACTCGTAGGATTTCTGAAAAACCTTCGAATGCCCAGGACCAATTTCGCCCTTCTTGGGGCTCATCAGGTTGACGCAGTTTCCGAGTTTCCTTCAACCTTATGTTCTACCTTAACTCAAGTTGAAGAGATTACACTCATTTGCATACTAATTTGGTTTTGACAGGGGACTCACCTGGAGCCCAGTTGAGTCTCTCCTTTGTGATGTTTTTATTCTGGGCTCCATTTGAGTCTCCGTCAAAATCAAACTGTGAATCAGTGCATTTCGCTAATTTCGGGCAATCTGGGTTCAAGTAAAACATAAGGATGACGGAAGTTCGGGGACTGCGCCTACCCGATGATCTCCAAGAAGCACGAAACCATTCGTGTGCTGATAGAGTGTTTTCATCAATCATATGAATAGTGTGTCGCGTCAGTAGCAATGTTTATTTATACGTTTTCTCGCAAGTGATTCTCTATTATTACTATCTACTGAAGTTGAGTCACAATGAGAATGATATGAGGGCGTTTTGACCTCGAAATCACTGATATTTCGATACAAGAAAGGAGTTACAACCCAAGTGATATTTGATAATGGATGGTGCTGAAGAATCGTTGTCCATCACGAGGAATTCATAGCACACATGCTACACCACACCCTGGTGACATTTTGTTGGCTTAACCTTACTTAAACGGAATTACGGTCCAATCCCCACCTGGTCAGGATGCGGATGGAAATCTACAAAGTCCAGAAAACGCCCGATTAATAAACAGATAGAGAATTCACCTCAATGGTCATAATTTGTTGCTACATAACTGAGACCAGCTTTTTGCACCGGACAATACAGCAGCTTACAATCTAGACGTTTTGATACACCTGATGTGCAATCATATAGTTCTCGGTAGAACACTCAGTCATACCGTCACGGAAGTTGCAAAAGTAATCCGCAGGTAAAAAATCTTTCATTTACCAAGGTGTATCTCTAAGGCCGACTCCTATTTCTGGAGATTGCTGCAATGTAAGTTAACGTTTGTTTCAGACTTAGCAAATACTTACCTGGACTATTTACAGAGAAAAAGAAACAAATTTCTTACCTCTCTCACAAATTATACTTAGGATAAATTCACCCAGAGCATTGGTTTGTTACTTGGACGTTTAACTAAAACTGGGAGTCCGATATTTAGTCTAGAGTTCTTATAACTTGTGGTCATTTGCCAACCACCATGAAATACTCTTCAGCTAGACAAACTATAGTTCTTAGAATTACTTAGCACGTAAGTTCGGTTACGACGAATCGTCCGTCGTTAAGTTGTAGACGGTATGATCGGCTCAGTACCGTCTGAGTAAATTTAACTCTTTTGTAAGATTTCATCGATAGTGTTGAGGAAGATATGCATGTTTCCTTCAAAGGAGTGAAAAAAGAACACGTAAAATGTGTACACTATCTAATGAGGCAGACTGCCTACTTGGTGAAATTTCTTCAAAATGAGCGCACAAAAATGGGCTGTCATACCAGTGAAACAGTATCGTCGGACTACCCAGCCACAAAGCATGCTTAAAAGGTAACCTGCATCGGAAATTTTGGTATCCAGACGTCGAGTTAGTGTATGACTCTTAGAGGCCCATTTTCTAAATTGCGTTGCATGTGGAATCACAAAGGCATATCACAGGTCGCAAGGTTTTTGTGACGGTGATACTACTGATGGGAGTAGTATGTTTTCTTGTAAATTCGCTGTGCGTCTCTTGAAAAGGGAGTTCTGTTGCGGAATTTGTGGAATCGGTTTGTAGCAGTTGCTTGGATTTGAGCAACAGTCAATGAATATCCAGGAAAGTTCGGGAAGATGCGTTCAAGAGAAGATGGATGTTCTGTTTTTCTTGTAAATAAGATGAAAATGAGAGTTTTGCTTCCATGTTCAGTAGTCTGTAACTGGTCAGTTAGAATGTTCTAGCCAATAACTCCGCAGCAGGGGCCTTCTTCATTTCACTAGGGCAGTGACAGTATTGCTGTATGGTTGTGACGTAGCCACCCCGGACAGATGATGTGAGGCTTCTTTAGGTTTTTAATATCGGTTCCGCAAAATCATTTCTCGTGTCGGATGACGTCAACAAATTTGCAACGAGCCAATTTTAGAAGGAATGTTTTGTTGTGCTGTGGGTACTTCAGTCGTGGAGACCATGCAGCAACATCAACTTCAATGGTCCTATTATGTTCAACGGATGCCGGAACGTCGTTTGCCGAGGTGAGTGTTTGTCTCCGTGCCTCACTCAGATGCAAGGGAGACGAAACAACCCGTGGCTTGGTAAAAGGGTGTGAATGAGACTAAGAGAACTTTAGGTGACGTAGTCCACCCTCCTAGGTGTGTCCTCGTGACCGCATTTCCAATGATTCGAGACACTGCAAGAAGAGGCGACTAATCAATGTCATTAGCTTTCTTGCTGTCATATCCTTTCCAGATTGTTTGACTGAGAGCTCGAAGATGCGATACAAAAACACCAAGTCCCCCTCACCAAAAAAAATTCACTTTAAGGCTCTAAAACTAATTAGATAAAATTCGTGGTTATACGGCAGTGGTCTCAACGGTGATGCTTGGGACTCTAATCATGGCAAAAAGCCGGGTTTCATTTCTCTAAAGGGCATGCTCTTCGTAAATGATGAGAGACTGATAAATAAACAGGTAAGTTAATCCTGAAGTTTCCTAATGACGGTTTCTTCGCACTTGCGTAACGCCTGTTTCGCCTTACGAATAACTCACTGAGATGCTCGGGCTTTTCTTCTATTGGACAAGGTTATACCTACAATGAAGGGTGGGTATGCTAGGAAACTCTTTTTTTTGAGGACTGAGAAACTCGTTAATTTATCAGCGGAAATGCCTTAGGATGGGGAATATCCAGCCAACCCAAACAATTGACGATACATTTGGTCTGACGAGCACAACAAATCGACATTGAAAATATTTCGCTTACATGTGACGCAGATGTTTTGAAAAATGGGAGTTATCGATTGATGTGCTTCGAGATACGATAACTAGATTAGTTCGGCGCGCTGAAGAGCTGCTGTAATGGTTTTTTGTCAAAACGTAACCCGAGATACACGTAAAGCAGGTCCATTTACGCACAGCGGTAAGAAAATTATCCTTTTACGTATGTCTGCTATATTTATCATGCTATCGAGACGGATGGGCGTTAAATACAGTATTTCAATAGAGGTTTAGCCATGTCAGTGAGGCTATTCCGCTTTGTATGCATCTCACAAAAATCCATTACGGAGTTTCAGATTCGCGACTAGATAGCCAGTGGTTGAACGCTTAATCGTTCGGCCTCCAGGGTTGAACAGCACTGTGTGAAATCTCAGCTGAATATTACAAAACCTCCTCACACTACGAACAGTTTGTAAATGGCACAGAGGAAGTATAATTTCAGATGAGTGAGACTTTCGTCTGAGAAGTCCTCACCCGATTTTACAGTCAACAAGTGACCACGCGACTTGGTTTCCTTGTGTGAACGGTGAGTGGCACCATGCTCTTAGTACGAGCTGATCACACTACTACTCAGCCGCTCTTGGCCAAACAGTTATCTGTTCAACCACTGGCCTGTATATCGCGGGTTCGAATCCCAGCAGAATGTCGTGAAATGGGTACTGTTCGTGATTCTCAACAATAGTTACACATCCGCACTGTAATTCCCAGCTTTTCAGCACCGACTGGCCTTAGTGACGGAACGAAATGTCAATTCAAAAATATAAGTCTCCTCATACAACACTCAGTGCAATATCCCGCTGAAAAGTCCACTAAAGGATTCTCTGTTTTTGTAACGTACTACTCATGAGGTTGCTGAAAATCCACCTGGTCCGGATGGGACCCAAGTGATGAACATAAATGAGGCTAAAGGCAGTATGCTTTTATTGCAAATCACACTGTCGTTAGCAAGGGACCGGAATCAATCTCGCAGTCATGATACCCTGAAGTTAAATTCGCTATACAGGTCATCCTGAGGTTTCATTTGTACAATACACGAGATATCGAAATATATCTCTTGGAACGACCCCACTATTCGCAGTTTTGATGAGAGATCTTCGACAATTCGCTATTGGTTTGGTGTTTCTTGATCTAATTTAACCATCACAGGCGTACGGAGGAACATATGACGGACGCCTGTGGGAAACATAATTACCTTCAAGCGTGAAAACCTAATTCTAAACAGGTTTTACGCGGTAACTCTTGAGTACAGGTTTATTCAATGTAAAACCATCCAGTTTGGTTTCTCAGAAAGATGTAGCAGCATGCCTAAATACATTCTGGTTTTATATTTGCTTAGTGTTTCTTGGGAACCTTTATTATGGCAATCAAGTTGCTGTTTCTTATAAATCCATGAATCCTCTCGACGTTGACTCACCACAAACTAGCACAGTTGCTGCCTCAGTTTCACTTAGATGGACTTCTGAACTGATAAGTTCGTCATGCTGGATTCTTTTCTATATTGTTACTTTTCTTCGCTAGATGATATTATTTATACACCGGGAGAACAAAACAGAGAATCAGCGAATTTACACCCATTTGCATACCAATTTGGTTCTTTCGAGAGACTCACCTGGAACCCAGCTGAGAACATGATAAACGAGAGATTCAGCTGGGTTCCAGGTGAGTCTCTCGAAAGAACCAAATTGGTATGCAAATGGGTGTAAATTCGCTGATTCTCTGTTTTGTTCTCCCGGTGTATAAATAATATCATCTAGCGAAGAAAAGTAACAATATAGAAAAGAATCCAGCATGACGAACTTATCAGTTCAGAAGTCCATCTAAGTGAAACTGAGGCAGCAACTGTGCTAGTTTGTGGTGAGTCAACGTCGAGAGGATTCATGGATTTATAAGAAACAGCAACTTGATTGCCATAATAAAGGTTCTCAAGAAACACTAAGCAAATATAAAACCAGAATGTATTTAGGCATGCTGCTACATCTTTCTGAGAAACCAAACTGGATGGTTTTACATTGAATAAACCTGTACTCAAGAGTTACCGCGTAAAACCTGTTTAGAATTAGGTTTTCACGCTTGAAGGTAATTATGTTTCCCACAGGCGTCCGTCATATGTTCCTCCGTACGCCTGTGATGGTTAAATTAGATCAAGAAACACCAAACCAATAGCGAATTGTCGAAGATCTCTCATCAAAACTGCGAATAGTGGGGTCGTTCCAAGAGATATATTTCGATATCTCGTGTATTGTACAAATGAAACCTCAGGATGACCTGTATAGCGAATTTAACTTCAGGGTATCATGACTGCGAGATTGATTCCGGTCCCTTGCT